AAATTAGGATGGGAGCGTTGGCTCATGCCTGTGGTCCCAGCACTTTGGGAGGCTGAGGCAGGTGAATAATGAGGTCAGGAGATCGAGATCATCCTGGCTTACACAGTAAAACCCCGTTTCTATTAAAAATGCAAAAAATTAGCTGGACATGATGGCATGCACCTGTAGTCCCAGCACTTTGAGAGGCCAAGACGGATGGATCACCTGAGGTCAGGAGTTTGAGACCAGCCTGGGCAACATGGCAAAACCCCATCTCTACTATAAGTACAAAAAATTAGCCAGGTGTGGTGGCATGAGCCTGTAATCCTAGCTACTCAGGGGGCTGAAGCAGGAGAATCGCTTGAACCCAGGAGGCGGAGGTTGCAGTAAGCCGAGATCGAGCCACTGCGCTCTAGCCTGGGCAACAGAATGAGACTCTGTTTCAAAAAAAAGTTGTGAAAATCAAATCAAATGCACATGTCCACGCTCCATGTGGAAGAATGATCAGGAGAGGAGCGTCTGTCCATTTGGTGCACACTCACTGAGCCATCTGTTATATACCAGGCACTTGTTTAGGCATAGTGATGCCATGGTGAGATAGGGAAGGCCTCTGCCTTCATGGGTTTCTGTTTTGGGGGAGGAGGGGTGGAAAGGAGAAACCAATTACAGTTGAGGAAGCAAGCGTGAGAAATGAGAAGAAGTGACTATTACAAGGGTTCACCGTTGGGGTGATGTGATGTGCACAAAGAGGCATTTAGCCATAATGGTCAAAGAAGACCTCTTAGGCCAGGTGCAGTGGCTCACGCCTATAATCCAAGCACTTTTGGGAGGCCGAGGCGGGAGCATCACCTGAGGTCGGGAGTTTGAGACCAGCCTGACCAACATGGAGAAACCCTGTCTCTACTAGAAATACAAAAATTAGCTGGCCGTTGTGACATCCGCCTGTAATCCCAGCTGCCTGGGAGGCTGAGGCAGATGAATCCCTTGTGCCCAAGAGGCGGAGGTTTTGGTGAGCTGAGATTGCGCCATTGCACTCCAGCCTGGGCAACAGAGTGAGACTCTGTCTCAAAAAAAAAAAAAAAAAAAAAAAAGAAGACCTCTTGAGGAGGTGACATTGGGCAAAGGCCTACATGATGAGGAGTCACTATGGGGAGATAGAACAGTAAAGAGAACAGCATGTGCACAAGTCCGGAGACTGGAATGAGCCTTAAGGAGGCCACTGTGACTGGACCAATGTGGAGAGAGGAAGGTGGTAGGTATGAATCAGTTCTAAGAGAGCAGGGGCCTTGAATGCCAACGTAGTGAGTTTGGATTTTATTCCAAATGGGAAAACAAAAACAAACAAAGCGACTTTGGCCTCCTTTCTACTCTAGGTCTGCAGCCCAGAGGGCACCTCCTGCAAACATGTCTGTGGATCCCTTATCCAGCAAAGCTCTGAAGGTGAGGAGGCAGCCTCCGTCAACCAGGGAAGCCCTCCCTCCCTACCCCTGCAGAGCTCCTCATCCCAGCTTCCCCTTCTTTCATGGAACCCCCTGGGTGGCTCAGCAGGCATCAAACCTTCATGATGCCAAAGCGGGGGCCACAGCCACAGACTGGGACGAGGAGGCCTGGGCTCTGGTCACAGGCTCCGTGTCCCTGCGGTAGGTCACTTCCCTCTCCAGGCCTCCCTCTCCATCTTGTCAATGTCCCCCGGGGCATTCAAAGGTGGTTTCCAGGCTAGGTTTCTCTGGCTGAGTCCAGGGCTTGGCGCTAGGTTAGAATCCAGGCTGAGCCCCGGGATGGCCTCCTTTTGTGTTTTCCTATCCTAGTTTGGCCCGGTTTTCCCTTTCCTGATTCCTGCTACCCTTTGGGGTTTGGAATCAAGTCCAGCCACCAACTCAGCGGCTAAGGCGGTGAAGGAGTAACACTGGGGGTGGAGGGGCGGGGGGGGGCTGTCCCCAGTCCCTGGGCCTCAGTGTCCCCATACCTGCAGATCAAGCGCGAGCTGAGCGAGAACACGCCACACCTCTCGGACGAGGCGCTTATGGGGCTGTCGGTGCGCGAGCTGAACCGGCACCTGCGCGGGCTCTCGGCCGAGGAGGTGACACGGCTCAAGCAGCGGCGCCGCACACTCAAAAACCGCGGCTATGCCGCCAGCTGCCGCGTGAAGCGCGTGTGCCAGAAGGAGGAGCTGCAGAAGCAGAAGTCAGAGCTGGAGCGCGAGGTGGACAAGCTGGCACGAGAGAACGCCGCCATGCGCCTGGAGCTCGACGCGCTGCGCGGCAAGTGCGAGGCGCTGCAGGGCTTCGCGCGCTCAGTGGCCGCCGCCCGCGGGACCGCCACGCTCGTGGCGCCAGCCAGCGTCATCACTATCGTTAAGTCCAACCCGGGATCGGGGTCTGGTCCCGCCCCCGGTCCGGACCCCGTTCCCGGCCCGGCCTCCTGCTCCTAGTGCCTGCCCCTTCCACCTCCCCAGCCACGCCCCTCCCGCCCCAGCTCCCTCCCCAAAGTGCCTGAGTGCCGGCTCTGTGCCCAGGTCCCATTTCTCTGTAGCACCGGCCCCTTGGTGCACACACATTCCCTCCCTGGGCCCTGTCTTCCTCTTGCAGCCCCCAAAACTGGGACCGAATGGCCCTGGGAAGGGGAACTTTGGTAGGTTGGGGATGGGGCAGAGCTCGGGATCTGGGATCGCCCTTGGCTGAAAGTTTAGCCGTTTTAGATTGAGAGACACGGAGCCGGCTTAGAGAACAGCTGTTGGGGGAAAAAGGGCACCCCTTATCTTGGAAACTGCTTTGGTTGTGCCAGTATGCTCTCCAAACCCTCCCAGGATTCCAAGCTAGATTTGGCTGTCTGTGACTTGTGGGGCCCTCCTGGTGAGAAATTGCACTGAAGAGATGCCCCCACCTCTGCTTTGGGCCTGGCCTTCCAAAACTAAAAGAGTGGGTAGGAAGTCTAGTAAAACCCAGTTCGCAGATGGCCCGAGGTCATATATCACTTAGCGATTGTGCCGGGACCAAAACCTGGGTTTCCTTACTGCTGCCCTAAGATTCCAGCCATGGTTTTCAGGGGGACAGAGGGCAGGGACTCAGAAAGGTGATGGGAGGGCCTCCCTGGCCTGGGAGACCTCTCTCTGCAAGAGAGGGGGAGAGAAGCAGAGGGAGAGAGAAGGTGACAGGGATGGAAGAGTGGGAAGGAGCTGGCCTGGCTCAGCCCAAGGCTCTCCCTGCAGCCAGGATGTCAGGGGCTGGTCAGACAGAGTAAAGGCGCCATGGACTGCTGTGGCAAGTGGGGAGGCAAGAGTGGGGTCCTTAGAAGAAGGGTCCCAGCTTGACCCGTCAGTGCCCACTGTGGGGTGGGGGCTGACCCCTGCCTTTGATTGTCACCCTCCTGGGAACCCCAACCTTAGTCCCTCCCCCCGCACTGTCCACACTGCCCCTCCCCACTGTTTATTTATTGCACGGATCTAAGTTATTCTCCCCAGCCAGAGCCTGAGCTCCTGCTCCCTGGGAAAAGTGGCATATGGGCTGGACTTTATATTTTATATCTGCAATAAATCACATTTTATCTTATATTTAGGGAAAGCCGGATAGCAGCAAAAAAAATGTTTAAGCCGGGCTCGGTGGCTCATGCCTGCCCAGAACCTTGGGAGGCCATGGAGGGTGGATCGCTTGAGTCCAGGAGTTTGAGACCAGCCTGGACAACATGGTGAAACCCCGCCTCTACAAAAAATACAAAAATTAGCTAGGCGTGGTGGCTCACGCCTGTAGTTCCAGCTACTTGGGAGGCTGAGGCAGGAGGAGCGCTTAAGCCCAGAAGGCAGAGGTAGTAGTGAGCTAAGATTGCACCACTGCACTCCAGCCTGGGCAACACAGCAAAACCCTGTCTTTAAAAAAAAAAAAAAAGTTAAAAAAAAATTGCCCGGCTCCTAGAATTTATTTATTTCCTGACTTACAGCAAGCGAGTTATCGCCTTCTGTATTTTGTAGACTTTCTAAATAAAGTCTAATTCCTTTTCCACAGAGAATAAGTCTGTGTCCTGGGCTATGTTTTGTTGGGGAGGGGTGTCTAAGATGGCATTCTGCTTTCAAACCCTTGGGGCCTCTGGTGGTGGGGAGGCCAGTGCCCATCTCCAGCTGTTGCACAGGACATGAGGTGGGGTAGAGGCGGCAGCAGAGACCAGTGGTGCCGAAACTTCGATGCTTCCTTTTTGGTTGCTTAGAGCCCAGGAGCTCCTAGGGATGACAAAGCCATGATCATGATGAAATTTAGGGCTAGATTCTGGCTGAGCATGGTGGCTAACACCTGTAGTTCCAGTACTTGGGGAGACTGAAGCAAGAGGATCTTTGAGACCAGGAGTCCAGGACCAACCTGGGCAACATAGTAAGACCCCATCTCTCCAAAAACGTAATTAGCCACGTGTGGTGGTACACGTGTCTGTTGTTCCAGCTACTGGAGAAGCTGAGATGGGAGGATCACTTGAGGCCAGGAGTTTGATACCAGCCTAGGCAACACAGCAAGACCCCCATCTCTACAAAAAATTAAAAAGAAAACAGGCCAGGCGAGGTGGCTCACACCTGTAATCCCAGCACTTTGGGAGGCCGAGGCAGGTGGATCATTTGAGGTCAGGAGTTCGAGAACAGCCTGACCAACATGGTGAAACCCTGTCTATTAAAAATACAAAAAAATTAGCTGGATATGGTGGCACATGTCTGTAGTCCCAGCTACTCAGGAGGCTGAGGCAGGAGGATTGCTTGAACCTGGGAAGCAGAGCAACCTCTACTCGGGAGGCAGCGAGCCAAGATCACGCCACTGAACTCCAGTCTGGGTGACAGAGCGAGACTCCATCTCTAAAACAAAATAAGAAAACAATTAGCCAGGCATGTTGGTGTAATTGAGCCCATGAGCCCAAGGCTTCGGTGAGCTATGACTGCACCACTGCACAAGCCAGCTGACAGAGTCCCTGTCTCAAAAGAAAGAAGTTTGCCGTGCGCAGTGGCTCACACCTATAATCCCAGCACTTTGGGAGGCCGAGGTGGGTGGATCACCTGAGGTCAGGAGTTCAAGACCAGCCTGACTAACATGGTGAAACCCCATCTCTATTAAAAATACAAAAATCAGCCGGGCCTAGTGGCACGTGCCTGTAGTCCCAGCTACTTGGGAGGCTGAGGCAGGAGAATTGCTTGAACCCAGGAGGCGGAGGTTGCAGTGAGCCGAGATCGCGCCAATGCACTCCAGCCTGGGTGACAAAGAGAGACTACGGAAAAAAAAAAAAAAAAAAGAAAGAAATTTAGGGTTAAATTCCCTGGACATCCCTTTAGTGAGCAGACAGTCCCACCCAGAGAGGAAAAAAAAAAAAAACGATTTCAGAGTAATCTTTCCAGCACTTTCACATTGAGGTCTGATTTTCTACAGCAAGTAGAAACTACCTTCCCCATGTTTTGGAAGACCCAGGGAGGCAAGGAGAGTTGCTTTCCCAGCCCCTATCTGCAGGCCTAAACCATAACCCTGTGTCTTGTCCTAGCCCTCAAACTCACTAATTTCAACCCAATCTGCCAGACCTTCTGGGGCACCCTGAAGGAGGAGTGGAGTGTACTGTGGTCTGTGGGTCACGGCAACTGGGGTTTGAATCCAGGTGTCTTTTCTTTCTTCTTTCTTAATCCAGGTGTCTTGTTTTTCTCTCTTTTCTTTTTTTCTTTCTGACGGACTCTTATTCCGTCACCAGGCTGGAGTGCAGTGGTGTAATCTCAGCTCACTGCAACTTCTACCTCCCAGGTTCAAGCAATTCCCCTGCCTCTGCCTCCCGAGTAGCTGGGACTACAGGCTCGTGCCACCACGCCCGGCTAATTTTTTTGTATTTTAGTAGAGAGGGGGTTTCACCATGTTGGCCAGGATGGTCTCCATCTCCTGACTTTATGATCTGCCTGCCTTAGCCTCCCAAAGTGCTGGGATTGAAAGTGTGAGCCACTGCACCCAGCCTAGGTGTCTTTACTTATCTGTGGGATCTTTGGTACTTACTTGGTTTCTTACAGCCTGAGTTTACCCATCTGTAAAACGAAGGTGCTATGGGGCATAGGCATGAAAAACCCTGGGGGCCTGTGGGGCTGCGAGTTTTAACACTCAGAACACACATTTACAGTGGCACAGACCTAGGCGAGGCCAACTGTGTGGCTGGGTATGGGGCCGGCGGGGTCAGGGACCAGTTGGGTGAAAGTGCAGGATTTGAGTCTGGGAAAGGGCCAAATTGCGTAGTGTCAGCCTTATCCACGGGGCTTTCTCCCTTTCTCAGGTTGGGGCTTGGTGCTTTCCCTGCCAAGCCTGTGACCCTGAAATGCTGAGCTCAGGCCTTCGGGAAGGGCAGCAGGAAGCTGCGGGAGGACTCAGGCTATTTACCTCCCTCTGGAGGCTGGTGGGAATTCCCCCACCCACGCCGCATTCCTGAGTGCTCCCGTCAGCAGCAGGCTAGGCCCCGAGAAGGCATGCGGTACCGGAGAGGCCAGGCACTGTGCCCACGGCCAGCAGCCCCCTGCCCCAGGCTCCCCGGCCAGAGGACAGTCCCAGGGCGGCAGGAAGATCGTCTGGAAGGGGAATCCCAGGAAATCCTGGGAGATGCCTGCAGGAGCCGGGCTGCCAGCATGTGGGCCCCATCGACTTGACTGATCAAACAGGAAAGGAGCATCGTCCACCTGTGCCAAGCCGTCCTGGGGTGGCAGCTGGCTGGGGGTTGGGGAGACCCTTTGTTCAAGGGGGGCCTGGGCCTTGACCTTGGTCCCTGTCCATCCAAACCCCCATCACTTAGAGGTTACACACAGGAAGGAGAGGGTTTCCTAAGCCGCCCCTGCCCAAAGCCACTCTACCCACCCGAACCCTAGACAGGGGCAGGGAGGAGGAAGGAAAACCTCACCACAGGCAGAGATTTCAATACAATATATATTATCTCGTATATATATTTCTTCCTCACTTTATTTGCTCACTTCTGTCACGCATTTAAAATGTCACAGAGACCAAAATAGAGTGGCTTTCTGGTGGATCTCATGGCAGTCATACAACGAGATACAAAACTAGGGGACTCTGTCTTCTCATACATCATACAATTAATTTTTCAAGTATTTTTTATGTACAAAGAGCTACTCTATCTGGAAAGAAAATTAAAAAACAAAAATAAAAAGACAAGGTAGGTTATGCATCCTAGGAAGGAGGGAATGGAGCGGTCGGGCACGTGTTCCCATCCCCTGTCCCCAGGGACCGCTGATTCCCTGCCACCGAGCTCTCCTCATCCCCACCCTCCACGAGGACAGCAACGCTGGGGCAGGTGAAGACCAAGGGAGTGAGAGTCAGCAGCACTTTGGCCTAGAGGGAGAAGGGAAGCCGCGTCGGAGAAACAGCTTGGTGACAGCGGACAGTGCGGCAGGGCCAGGGCTGTTCCTCACCCTGTGTCTGCACCCACCCTCCCGGGCAGCTTGGGGCCAACTGGTCAGGGCCCCCCAGATGGAGGGGGAGAGTTGGCGGCCGGCATCCACATGCAAACCTCTGCCACGAGGGAAGGAAGGAGGCCAGGAAGACGGCCAGGCCCTGACTCTCCTCACAGATGGCAGGAAGGGAGCCTGTTCATTCCAGGAAGGACCAGAAGAATCCCCAGTGAACACGGGCAGGGTCCTTCTCCCTCACCCTACCGGCTTCTCGAGGCGACTGTGGCCAAAACCCAGGGATAATCTGGGCTTTAAATGCCAGGACAGAAGGCTCTTCCTAAGTCAGGAGCTGGTATAAGCCCAGCTTGCTGGGGGCTCCGGCTCCAGAGGCCCCAGGTCTAGAGGTGTGGAGGAGAGAGGAGGGCCTTGGTGGTCCTGACCACTCTTGAGGCCTGTCCGAGGGTTCTGCCCAGCACTGCAGGATCCGGTGAGCGCTAACAGCTGAACTAGGAGCCCCAGGGCGCATGTGGGACAGACAGGGAACCAGGGAGGGGCGCTTTCATATGTGACTAAGGCACAGAAGAGATGGGCCAAGGGCCGGATGGGGCAGAACACCAGGCCCTGTGTGGATGGGGGCCCCGGAGGGAAGTCTGGGATCATTCCCCCCACCTCCCAGCTCCCCACCGCGCAGCCACCCCTTCCGGCCTCTCTGCCGCACTGCCTTCCTCCGGAAGCTGGTCTGAAATGAGGAGACTCAGATCTTTCCCCTGAAACGAGAGGGAGAAGCCCCAGGGAGAGACCAGAACCCAGCATCAGCCTGGGAAGGAGGGCTGGGAGCCCCTGACCTCTGGAGCAGCCAGGAAACAAGGGCTCTGCCCAAAACTCTCAAGGACCCAAGTGAGCCGGTGGTGCAGGCTGTGGGCTGTCCTTGGTAGGCCAGGGGGAAGGGGCCTGAGGCAGACAGAGGTGCGGCCACGACGAATGGGGACACCCAGGGGCCTCTGCTTCAATAGAAGCGGTGCCCAGAAGCCCCTGAATGCCCTTCCTGGGTGAGGCCTGTTTCTCCTGGTGTCTGGCTCTGATCCTTGCAGCATGCCAGGGAGGCCTGGGTCAGGAGGGAAGGACCACAGAGCGCCCACATCCCCGCTCCTGCCCGGGATGAAGTGACTTTAGCACTGGACAAAGGTGAATGGGAAGGGAAGCAGGCGGGAAGAGCCCAGGGCAGACAGAGTATTGCACGGTGTGGGGGGACCAAGGTTTGCCAACCTCAGCCTGAGACTTACGGGGAGGAGAGGCTAGAAGGCTGCAGCTGCTGGTCCACACACAAGCATTGGGGCCTGGGTGTGGCTGGTCCCCGCATGCCCCCAGCACAGAATGAGCAGCAGGGACCTGAGCCTTGCTCCCAGTGTCCTCTGCCCTCGCCCGGGCAGTGCAGGGTGGGCCGTGTATAAATATTCCTGAAGGCCCGTGGGTGAGCCTGGCTGTCCCCCATTCCTCTGGAAGCGACGTGTGTGTTTCTGGTCCAATAAATAAAGGGCGGCATGAGCGCAGTGCCAACTGCCTCCTGGCCTGGTGGTGAGGCTGGAGGGGGGCACAGCCTGACCATGGCTACGGCCCA